AGGGGAGAGGGTCGCTCAGTTCGTCCTTCTGCAGCCGCTTTGGAGAGAGACTCCGGGCCGCTGGGATTAATAGCACCGGCTACGGAGGTGTCCGTGATCGCGCTGATTCCCCTCTTCAGCTCCACCCCACCGTAAGCCCTGCAACACACCTGCACAAAAGCCCTGGGGCCGTCACACTCTTCTATAACTGATGTTCCCCGAAAAAAGCGGGCGGAGCCTCTCTGGTGGTTGACTAATCAGAACAGAGTGGCCGAGCTGACCAATAGGCTCACAGGGAGGGGGGGGCAAGAGCTCCAACGAGTCGTTTAGTGGAGAAAGTGAATACTGCTGAATACACATGCTTGACAGAGATGCTGTATGCGAAACCAATGTGAGTTTGGAAAATTGCACAGTATAAATCTATTTTAGTATACCTCAACAATGTAATTATGATCAGTGGAAATGGCCATGACATGGGCCCTTTAAACAATTGAACTGTTGAAACAACTTCAAAACATTCTTCTGCTACTCAGTAATATGTATCTAATATCTAATATATATCATTCCAATAACTTGTATATAGACTCGTACTGCACTATTCCACATCATTACTTTATTTTATAACTATTTTTCTTTTTGTATTGCTCTTGCTATCTGTATTGTTATTATGTTGCATTGTTGGAGAAGCCTGTGACATAAGATTTTCAACTACATAATTACTCTGTAGCTATGTCAGATTGACAATAAAGAACCTTGAACCTTGAACCTTGAGAAGGGAGGACAGGATGACAGGTACTTTGGGAATGCCGGAGTCAGCTTGCTCCTGCCTTTTTTGGTGTTTAATTACCTGTCGACCAAAAGACAGTGTGTCACGGTTTTGGATTGTTTTCATTTTCCACCTTTTATTTTGAAATGTTTTCCTCCTTGTGTCTTGTCTGATCCTTCTTCCTGTGTTTGCCTTCCTGTCGTTAGTTTCCCTGGTGTGTCTGATTGTCTCATTGTGTTCACCTGTTGCCCTTGTGTTTCTGCCTCCCTTACCCCAGCTGTGTCTTGTCTTGTGATTACCCCTCTCTGTATTTAGTCTTGTCTTCCCCTGTGTGCCTTGTCGGTTCATTGTCTCTCCTGTCTCCCTCCATGTTGGTCACGGTCAGTTTTTGTGCTACCTATGTGTTTCATGCCATGTTTTTGTTCAGCTTTTAAAATAAAGCTCGCTTTTGTTTCTAGACCTTTTTACCTTTTTTTTGTAGACTGCATTTGGGTCCTACCCTTTCCACGCATCCTAACAGAATGAACCGACCAGAATTGGACTCAGCAGACTCTGATTTTTTGTTGCTACAGGCGGAACGTCTTGGGTACTCTCTGGAGTACATTTTTTATACCTGGTATGATGCCACATCTATACGGGGTAGAGTGGCTGCTTTGAAGGAGGCACGCCAGGAGGTTGCTCGCAAGCCCTGGCTCAGGGGTTTGTTGCCTGAGTGGCTACAACATTTTACATGTAGTCCTGGAAGCTTTTCTCAAGCCTCTAACCCTTTCCTGGGATCCGACTACTGTCCTGTTGGAGGTCCACGGCGTCTCCAAAAGGCCTCCAAGAGACGCAGGGCCAGGATTCCAGCCCGTGCCCCAGCAGCCATGGTTTCAGCCCCAGTTCTGGTCCCAGCAGCCATGGTTCCAGCTCCAGATCTGACCCCAGCAGCCATTGTTCCAGCCCCAGCAGCCATGGTTTCAGCCCCAGTTCTGGCCCCAGCAGCCATGGTTCCGGCCCCAGTTCCGGCCCCAGCAGCCATGGTTCCGGCCCCAGCAGCCATGTTTCCGGCTTCAGTTTCGGCTCCAGTACTGGCTCCCCGGCCGACGCCAGCCCCCCGTGTTTTGTCAGTGGTTCGGCCCACTCCAGCCCCTCGTGTCCTGTCGGTGGTCCGGCCGACTCCAGCACCTCGTCTCCTGTTGGCTCTCCGGCCGACGCCAGCCCCCCGTGTCCTGTTGGCTCTACGGCCGACGCCTACCCCATGTCCTGTACCGTTGGAGGTCCCGCCGACTACTCTTCTGCCGGGGGTCCTGCCAACCCTATGTCCTGTGCCGTTGGAGGTCCCGCCGACTACTCTTCTGCCGGGGGTCTTGCCAACCCTATGTCCTGTCCCGTTGGAGGTCCCGCCGACTACTCTTCTGCCGGGGGTCCTGCCAACCCTATGTCCTGTGCCGTTGGAGGTCCCGCCGACTACTCTCCTGCCGGGGGTCTTGCCAACTCCATGTCCTGTCCCATTGGGGGTCCCGCCGACTACTCTTCTGCCGGGGGTCCTGCCAACCCTATGTCCTGTGCCGTTGGAGGTCCCGCCGACTACTCTTCTGCCGGGGGTCCTGCCAACCCTATGTCCTGTGCTGTTGGAGGTCCCGCCGACTACTCTTCTGCCGGGGGTCTTGCCAACGCTATGTCCTGTGCCGTTGGGGGTTCCGCTGAGGGTCCTGCCAACTCCACGTCCAGTGTCGTTGGGGGTCCTGCCGACACCTGTTCCGCTGTGGGTCCTGCCAACCCCATGTCCTGTCCCGTTGGGGGTCCCGCCGACTACTGCTCCGCCGGGTTTCCTGCCAACACCAGATCCTGTCCTGTTGGGGGTCCCGCCGACACCTGCTCCGCCAGATTTCCTGCCTACACCATATCCTGTCCTGTTGGGGGTCCCGCCGACACCTGTCCCGCCGGGGGTCCTGCCAGCTCCATGTTCTGTTCTGTTGGGGGTCCCGCCGACACCTGTCCTGCCGGGGGTCCTGCCAACTCTGTGTCCTGTCCTGTTGGAGGTCCCGCCGACACCTGTTCCACCGGGGGTCCTGCCAACTCTGTGTCTTGTTCCGTTGGGGGTCCAGTCGACACCAGCCCTTGCTCCATCCGGGGTCCCATTGACACCAGCCCATGTCATGTTCAGGACCCCGTCTACGCCTGTCCCGTCGGCTCCGGTTCCTGTCCGGCCGATACTGGGTCCTGCTCGTCCTCTGGAGCTGTTCCGTCAGCGCCTTCCTGCCCGTCCTCCGGAGCTGTCCCGTCAGCGCCTTCCTGCCTGGCCTCCGGAGCTGTCTCGTCGCCGCCTTCTTGCTCGCCCTCGAGCCTGGCCCCTTGAGTTCCCCAGCCGTGGTCTTCGCCCTCGAGCCCCGCCTCCTGACTCTTCCAGCCACTGCCTTCGCTCTCATGCCCGGGTCCCTGCTGAGTTCGCCCGCTGTGGCCTTCGCCCCTTTTTGGACTCTGCCTTGCCCCCGGGCCGTCCGCCCGGGACCCCTTCCGGGCCCGTCCTCCGGACCCCCTCCACCCACCCTTTTGGAAATGTTGGACTCTGTTTTTTGGGACGTCTGGAATCCGTCCCTTGAGGGGGGGGTTCTGTCACGGTTTTGGATTGTTTTCATTTTCCACCTTTTATTTTGAAATGTTTTCCTCCTTGTGTCTTGTCTGATCCTTCTTCCTGTGTTTGCCTTCCTGTCGTTAGTTTCCCTGGTGTGTCTGATTGTCTCATTGTGTTCACCTGTTGCCCTTGTGTTTCTACCTCCCTTACCCCAGCTGTGTCTTGTCTTGTGATTACCCCTCTCTGTATTTAGTCTTGTCTTCCCGTGTGCCTTGTCGGTTCATTGTCTCTCCTGTCTCCCTCCATGTTGGTCACGGTCAGTTTTTGTGCTACCTATGTGTTTCATGCCATGTTTTTGTTCAGCTTTTAAAATAAAGCTCGCTTTTGTTTCTAGACCTTTTTACCTTTTTTTTGTAGTCTGCATTTGGGTCCTACCCTTTCCACGCATCCTAACACAGTGCGACTCTTAGCTGACACTTGTGAAGAGAGGGTTTGTCACCGGTGCTGGCGTAGAACTCGGGACTTCCTCTGGCCCAAAGGATATTAAAAGCTACTCCAGAATGAGGACGGAAGGGACACCCGGATGTGTCGTTCCAGCGGCGTCTGAACCATGCTCTGAGCTAGCCTGTGTTTCGGGAATGAGGCGGGCTTCTTACGGCTTCTTGCGTATGATGATTCGGTTCCAGAGTCGGAGATATAGACATTTGCAAGGACAGCACCAGCAGGCAAGCAGCAGCGACGTAGAGTAGCTGCAGCAAAGCAGCAGCAAGCAATGCATAGAGAGATATCTGGCAGGTTAAAAAGAGCGGCATATTAAGGAGACTCTGTTTGGTTGGTTGTAGAGTGGCAAGGGGCGTTATGTATGAATGCAGCATAAGTGCTCGAGTTGACTGCCTGAACTAGCTCGCAGGCTTCGCCCCATTAATTAAAAAGCGAAGAGAATAAAATAAACATTAAACAAGTTAATATAGAATATTACAGGTATAAAATGCATGAACAAAAGTTACAGTGCAGTGATATGAAAAGTTCAATTAAAAGCAGCGGCAAAAAGAAAATTCTTCAGCATGGATTTAAAATATGCTGTGGACCTGCATGTTTCTGGGAGTTTGTTCCAGATATGAAGCATATTAACTGAACGCTGCTTCTCCATGTTTAGTTATGACTCTGGGAACAAAAAGTAGACCCGTCCCAGAAGAGCTGAGAGTTGTAGATTGTTCATCTTTTAGAAAAGGACATCAGAAATGTATTTTGGCCCTAAACCATTCAGTGCTTCATAAAACAGCAGCAGTATTTTGAAATAAATTATTTGACAGACAGGAAGCCAGTGTAAAGACCTCAGAACTGGAGTGATGTGATCCACTTTCTAAGTGTTAGTGAGGACTCGGGCAGCAGCACTGAAGAAGCTGATTTTCATTAAAGATCCAGACCTTATAAGGTACATTGGACAAACATGTGTTGGAGTTGATACAAAAAAATTATACTCTTAACCTTGACTTGCAAAAGGTTGTGTAGCATGTTTTGTTTCTATTGCAAAGTTTTGTATTTCAATGCTTCGGATGTTTATTCATGTTTAAGTTATTGCCATGTTTTACTGTATCCCAAAAATCCCAATAAGCAAATCTTTTAAGAGGTAATTTTAAAGTATTGGGAAGAAGATATGATGTATTAAAACACACACAAAGAATGAGGGAAACATGATTTAAAAGTCAAGGTGTAGGACTTTATTGACTCAGATTGCACATTATTCCAAACTCAACAACAACCGTGGAGTTAGAATGATGGAAGAAAGGCAGCAGAGTAAGATGGTGATCGCAGGATCAGACTTAATTGTTGGCCATGGTTGTCTCCAGCCAATCGGTGAAGTGGCAGACCTGTGAATAGAGACACAATGAGGTTTGTTAGAAAACTAGCATATATGATTCATTTTTACTGGGCATGCTCATTATGAAATATAAGTTTCATGTCTTTTATTGTAGAGATATTTTTGGTTTACCTTGGTGTAGATACCGGGTTTGTCATTCTTAGCACATCCGAGGCCATGGGACACAACACCCTGCAGCTCACCGTTGCACACGACGGGTCCACCAGAGTCTCCCTGAGAGAGAATTTATTTGTGAAGACATTCCCAGATATTCTGTATTGGCAACTAAGATGCACTACTATAGGAAAAAGAGTATTGGTGAGTTGTTTTGTTACACACCTGGCAAGAGTCCTTGCCTCCCTCAAGGTATCCAGCGCAGAACATGTTATCAGTGATCCGACCTGGGGAGTTTTCACAGACCCTTTCGGTCAGGATGGGTATGTTCAGACACTGCAGCTTGTTCTTGTCAGCTGTAATGTATCAAACAATGTGGGTGGAAAAGGGTTAGAATAGCACAAATGAAAATGAAAACATAGTGTGACTCCTAGCTGTTTAAATGCGGGTGTTACTCACCCGAGTTCTGGGTGTTTCCCCAGCCAGAGACGATGCACTTGGTGCCAGGGGAGGCACAGCTGCTGGGCAGAGCCACGGCCTGAACGTATTGGTTGAGGTTAGCGGGCTTGCTCAGCTTGATCAGCATGATGTCACTGTCCTTTTGGTCATCGTTGAAGTCGGGGTGAGGGATGACACGGGAGGAGCTGATGACCTGCTCGTTTCCCTCCTTGACATTACGGTCGTGCTCTCCCAAATGAACCTCCATATCGCTAAAAGCAAATGGAAAACGGTGGATTAGTGGCACAACACAGAATAATGATTAGGTATTGTCTGCATACCCCTCTGGTTAGTTAATCAGTCGTATGGCCCTGGAAAACATGAAGAATTTGCTTACGACTTGTAGCAGTGAGCGGCAGACACCACCCACTTCTCGTTGACCAGGGAGCCTCCACAGAAGTGGGAGCCATCGTTCAGAGACACCTGATGGGGCCTGGAGTAGGGAATGCACTCCTTCCCTCCGACGATCTTGTCCTCCTCCGTGGCAACTGAGAAAACATCAGAATAAACTTAGTTTTTTGATACTACTCTTTAAATAAAGCCTTATTAGTTTGTCTGTTTTGCACATCCTCCTATTAATATCTTTGGACGTCCTGCACTAAACTGTTTCATTGTAGAGATCACTACAGTATCTTCTTGATTTTTTATATTCTATATTTCTATCATTGACCAAAGGTATATCCGTCATTTAATGGTAAGCTATTGAAATTATGATTCCATAGATGTGTCTCCCATCACCCAAAACCCCTGACTATTCTCTCAACTCAGATTTTCTTTTGGGGGTGCTGTGGGGTATCTTGACGTTTCATAGAGGGTGCTCAAACATGTAGGGTTTCCCATTAAGGTACCGGTGCTTCAGTGGAATTTTCTACTGCAACACTCCCCACACGTACATACACAGTACACCCGCGCCTGTTACAATGAAGGCTCGATAATCAGCTCACGGCATATAGGTGTAAGCAGGGGTAAAGTACTATTTTTTTATAAGTGTGGGGTGGACCTCACCTCCTCTAGGGGGGTCCGGGGCAAAATGACATGCCCAAAACAAATGACTACAACTTAACTTCTAAAAGGGTTATATGAATCATTTCTTTTATCAAAGCAAGGTTACATCTGTGAGTTGGATGTAGAAGTGTCAGAATCAATATAGATGTTTTTTATTTTAAAGAAAATTCAGATTTTACATAGTAAAAAACTGTAAATTATAGTGTCCGTCCAAAAATTATTTTTTACTTATAGTGAAAACTACCCTTGGATGATGGGTTAGTAGACTAAAAGCTTTAGGATTCCAAAGTACAACATATAATAAGTACCCTGTATCAAGATTGATGCAAAACAAGTGACATTTGACCTTTTTAGAGAGGTTTAGCCAAAACCACTCCACCTCTGAGGTGATTTGGGTGAAAATTGTTTTTTTTCCATATCTCTGGCCCCCCTTGGTCGATTTGGATGGTTGACACCTCTTTCTGACCGTTAGAGCCAATAGAATCGAAGGGGGAGTCCCCCACACACACACGTTGTGAAGAGAAGAGGTGGGGGCTTCGCGCATGTAATTTTGCATCAGAGTGGACCTATCTCTAGCTCTGACATTTGGAAACGAAAAAGCAGTTTTATTTCTTATGGATTATCAGAAATAATTTCAAAGAGGACACAGACACATTGGATTAACCTATGGATTAACTGCAGCATCGTTTTTTTTATCGTTTTAATGCCATTGAAGACCAGTTTTGACCAAGGTAAGCCATGTTAGCGTTTCTAGCTACCTAGCTCCACATGTTCTGATGTACGCTTTCGTTTATAGCGTCGCAAATGTTTATCACTGAGTGTTGAGGTTTTTTACACAGATTCTGTGTCTCCAGGAGATGCTAATCGGGGGGTTGGCTGTGCATCTACAGATGGAGCAGCTTATTTCAGACTCCAGTTTATAGCTTCCTGCCTGCTACCTTCCAGCTACCTGCCTAAAACCTGCCAAAGACCAGTATCTGGGAATGTTAAGCCCTCCCACCATTTTCCAAGAGGGCGTTGCCAGATTTTCAATTTCAGGATTTAACCAGGAGATGGCGCTTCATTCACAAAAACAGGAAGACTACTTTTCATGGACTTTCAGTTTTGTTTAGAAGAGCATTTGAACACATCAATATTTTAGATCAAATAAAGTATATCTAATCTTGTAATTCAATAATATATAGTCTTTATATATTAAATAACTATGGCCAAATTAAGACTTAGTTTTTAAAAAGAGAAAATGCAGATATTATATAAAAAACTAAAGTTAAAATCTTGTTTTTAATGCCCCAAGAGCAATAAAAACACTTGGTAAAAAAATCCAATCGGTTCCCAAATGTGAACATTATTTTGTATTTTTATTAAATTTGACAATGTCAATTTCACTTTCCACTATGTACAGGTATCTTGGGTCAGTCTTCCAAAAATCAGGAAGTAAAGTCAAGATGTGAACTCAACACGTAGTCACTCAGAGGGGGGTACTAATTATTTTCAAATGCATATAGGCAATGCTATCCATTTACATGTACTGTAGGCTCTTTCAGTCAAGAATTTGAATTTGAATGGGATGGGGAGACGCTCTGCCAACACTGACCCAATCTTCTGCTCCTTACAGCCCACTGCCTGTGTTTTAACATGACGTGTTTATCCGCCCGGTACCGGGCGGATAAACACGTCATTTGCAGGAAACAACGTCTAAGGAATCTTAATATTTAATAAACTATGAATGTTTTATATCCATGTAACGGGAAGAAACTCAGCTAACTGATCTTTTTAATTTTTTTTTTCAAAAAAAACCCACAATGCTAGCACTCAGCCTCTGAATTAGCCACGAGCAAAACATTTTAACCTAAAACGGCACTTAAACTCACTCATAACTCCCTTATTACTTATCCTAGATGCACAACCAACCACTCGTTTTTGGTGTCCTGGAGACACTGAATCTAGTGGTGCCCTCCTCAACACTCAGTGATAAACATTTGCGACGCTATAAACGAAAGCGTACATCATAACATGTGGAGCTAAGTAGCTAGAAACGCTAACATGGCTTACCTTGGTCAAAACTGGTCTTCAATGGCATTCAAACGATAAAAAAACGATACTGCAGTTAATCCATAGGTTCATCCTATGTATCTGTGCCTTCTTTGAAATTATTTCTGATAATCCATAAGCAATAAAACTGCTTTTTAGTTTCCAAACTCCAGAAGGAGAAAATCTCCCAATGTAGTTTCATTTCTAGACGCACAGCCCCCACCTTTTCTCTTTACAATGAGTGTGTGTGTGGGCCTCCCCCTTCGATTCTATTGGCTCTAACGGTCAGAAAGGTGTGTCAACGAGCCAAATCGAGCAAGGGGGGCCAGAGATAGGTCAAATCCACCCAAATGATGGCTAAATCTCTCTAAAAAGGTCAAATGTCACTTGTTTTGCATCAATCTTGATACAGGGTACTTATTATATGTTGTACTTTGGATTCCTAAAGCTTTTAGTCTACTAACCCATCATCCAAGGGTAGTTTTCACTATCTGTAAAAAATAATTTTTGGACGGACACTATAATTTACAGTTTTTTACTATGTAAATTTTCTTTAAAACAAAAAACATTTATATTGATTCTGACACTTCTACATCCAACTCACAGATGTAACCTTGCTTTGATAAAAGAAATTATTCATATAACCCTTTTAGAAGTTAAGTTGTAGTCATTTGTTTTGGGCATGTCATTTTCGAGCCTGAAACATGAAAAACAGGCTCGGTGCTTAACAGGTTAACATGTTCTTTTTTTTTTTTTTAAGAATATTTTTATTGCAGAAATGTGTTGTACCAACCGCATTGATATATCAAAGCAATCATATTTTCCATTTTCAGTAACAACAAAACAGCGGATTCAGAACATACTAGTACAATTAGGCTGTTGGCGGTTTTAAAACACATCCATGGGCGAGGTAACAAGAAATGCAATATTCATGCCAGAAACAAGAGGGCAGTCCAAGAGAGCACATCAGGAAAAAAAAAAAATGTACATAGCAAATTGAAAAAAAACAAAAAAAAAACAACAAGATAAAAGTTACAGGATTAACATTATTGATCATTCATCCCACACCTTCATCCTCACCCAGACCTCTTAAGTGTCTCATCACTGGAGCCCAGGCCTTATCAAACACTCTCCCCCTTCCTGCATTCTTGAATCTAAGTTTCTCCAGGTAGAGGATCTCACCCAACTCTCTCAGCCACATCTCGAATGTAGGCACAGTATCAGACTTCCATAACCTCAAAATAAGTTTTTTAGCCAAAACAGTACCCAAAAACACCGGCCATTTGTCACTGCCATAGTTCAGATCAGTGTCACTCGTGGACCCCAGAATGGCCACAAGGGGATCAGGCTTCAATTGCTTGTCAAATGCTTTTGAATAAAAATCAAATACAGAAGTCCAGAATGAGTGGAGGTTGGGGCATGTCCAGAATTGGTGTGTAAGGGTGCCAGCTTGATTTTTACATTTGTTACATAATGCTGATACGCTGGAATTAGGGCTGTCAGTCGATTAAAATATTTAATCGTGATTAATCGCATGATTGTCCATAGTTAATCGCATTTTTTATCTGTTCTAAATGTACCTTAGAGGGATATCTTTCAAGTTTTTAATACTCTTATCAACATATGAGTGGACAAATATGCTTTATATGTTTGTTTATTATCATTTGAACAATGACAAATATTCTCATGAATATTAAACACAACAACCTCTGAACATTACAAATATTCGCCTCAATTCAACCTGGAACCTCTCTCATACAATAATACTGTGTGTGTGTGTGTGTGTGTATGTGTGTGTGTGTGTGTGTGTGTGTGTGTGTGTGTGTGTGTGTGTGTGTGTGTGTGTGTGTGTGTGTGTGTGTGTGTGTGTGTGTGTGTGTGTGTGTGTGTGTGTGGAGACACTGTGATGGATCGTTGAGCTATGTGCAGCTCAAGGCATATATGCTCGAATGGGAGCTGCCTGGACGCTGCAATAATGTTGCGCGTACTATCCGTGCTGAGTGTGCTGACTTTTCGTACAATGTCAAACTGTCTGGCTACCTGCATAAAGTCAAGTGCTCGGCGCAGTTGTCGGCGAAATGTCATTGAAACAGCTCCTTATATCCGTTAGCGCAGCTAGCTAGCACCAGATGCTAACAACAACAACACGTAAGGTGTGCCTCGCTCGCGCGAGTCGCGCCACACATACACACTCCCTCCCGGTCCTCCCGATGGCCAGTCCGGGCCTGCCAGTGAGCGTGGAAGTGTGGTCTGCCACAAGCGGGCGGCAGGAGCGGGGCTGTCAGCATCAGCTTGTCGATGGTATTTTACACTCGATGCGCTCTGAAACTACGGCGGCCGAGGACAAAAAATACACATGCGTTAATCGCGTTAAAATAATTAGTGGCGTTAATTTTTTTTTGCGTTAACGCGTTATTAACGCGTTAACTTGACAGCCCTAGCTGGAATACAT